CATGAGCCTCGAAGAAAAGCGAATCATTAGAATGCCTTCAAAAGAGAAAGCCCGAGAAAGGGACTAGACCGAACTCACACAACCACAACCTCAGCAGAAACGAAGACGAATAATCAAGTAGAGTAGAGCATAGAACCAAACCAATACTACCTTCCAGCCACCAGAGAAGACGAGAAAGCAAAGGAACAAGGAGAAACCTTGAGATCCGAAGGGGAAAACGCCAAAGAGGACCCCCATTTCTTACACGCGGACATTCGTAGACCCAGCCAAAGCCATCTACAAACTAAGAACTAGTTACGCCACGCAAGAGAAGGAATAGAGACCGAACCCGCCGCATCGTCGTGAACCCAAATCTGAAGCCTAAACAAAGACACAAATAGGAGCTAGTAGATGCCTATGCAGAAAGCTACCATCCAAATGAAGAACCCACAAATCGAAACCTTCACCAACTCACAACACCAATCACCAGATATGAAGTAACAGAGAGGCAGAACTAGGAGTCAAGAAAGCCAACCCAAGACTTAAAACTAAGGCTTCAATCCACAACCACTCCCAAAAAGCCGTAACACAAACCAGTAAACAACACAATAATTCCTTAGCCAAGATCTCAATCCCAAGCTAAAAACAGAATTAAAGTGCCTACATCGATGAAAATAAAATCCAAAGTGGCAACACAAGGACAAAACCTCTAGTCCAGCAACCTTCCAAGGTGAAATATGCCTTCCAAGATGAGATATGCCTTCCAATATGAGAGCTGCAAGAAATAACAAAGGGGTTCAGCACCGCCGACTTCACTCCACATCGACGTCATCATCTTCACCCCAAATTGAATCAGTTCTGTTACTTCCAAAGCAAAGGCTCATCAACCACCAAAGATTTCAACAAAACAGGAAAAATAAAACTATAAGGAGGATCAACACCCGTGCTAACTAGCCATAGACCATCAATCCCCAGCCAAAAAACCAACGAGAAAGCCGGATCTAACACCGGAGTAAAGTTGGCCGAAACCTCCAGAGAGACTGCGGCGAAATCACCAAACACAAAGCCGGATATCGTCGCATAGAAAGCCGACGCATACCGGAGCCAAAAGCCGGACATCGTCTCATAAAAAGCCGACGCATGCCGGAGCCAAAGTCGGCCAAACGGTGCTAAGGAGCCACCGATGCCGGAAATAGATTGACCATCGTGACTAAGGAAGCCAACGATGTCAGATAGGAGCCGGCTGATGCCACTGACGAAGCTAACCACCGCCGGAAGAGAGTAGATCACCGGGAAAGCTTTCCCTCTCTGAAAGGTCGAGACTGAGAGAAGAGAGAGAAAAGCCCCCTTCTTTCATTTCTATAAACGTAGCTATCTTAATTATTGACATCCTATAATATATTTGAAGTGAAATTTTAATATATTATTAAATCCTAATTTTAAAGTATCTCGGTCAAATAACTTTTTCTGACATAATTAACTACAGAAATAATTTTCGGTTATTACTAATTGAAATATAGGTATATATATTAGGTGAAGACCATTTCCTCGTAACTAAGGGGTCGGATTTCAACTACTAATAACTGAGAAAATTATTTGTGTAGTTATGTCAAAAAAATAATTTGCAAATCACCCAAATTTAAATATGATAATCATCCAATTTTAATGTGTTTTTTTTTTGGTCCACCCGCCAATTTTTATTTATTTTTGACAAAATTACAAAATCATTTTTTTCTTTTATCTATAATTGAAATGCAGATATGTCAGGTAGAGACCATTTCCTCGTAACCGGTCGGATTTCACGAGATTTCCGGCGAAACTCCGACAATAAGTCCGCATGGGGAACCAACGTCATGCTCTACCCGGAGTCTCTAAACCTCACTTTCCTCACCATGGAACGTAGTCTAACGAGCCACAACGAGTTTGCAATTCCTTATCCCACTTACTTTCACCCTACGTCAAACCTCCGAGATCCTCCGCTGGCAAGACAAGATCAGGCTCACTAACCGGACGATCCTCTTCTCATTCGCCGGAGCTCAAAGACCAATTAGAAACCAGAACGGTTTGGTTCGCACTCAAGTTATAAAACAATGCAAGAGCTCATCTAATACGTGTAGGTTTCTTGACTGTGACGTCAAAGCCAATATTAGCTGCGATGATCCGATCAGTCTGATGAAACTTTTCGAGAGTTCAGTTTTCTGCTTACAACCACCGGGTGATTCGTTAACCAGAAGATCGGTATTTGATTCAATCTTGGCTGGTTGTATTCCGGTTTTCTTTAACCAAGGTAGCGCATACAAGCAATATAGATGGCACATACCTAAGAACAATAGCGAATATTCGGTTTATATACCGGTTAAGGAGCTGAGAACCGGGGGAAAGAACAAAATCGAAGAGATTTTGCGTGGAATACCAAATGAGAGAGTGGTTGGTATGAGAGAAAACGTAATAAGATTGATTCCGAAGATTGTGTATAGTAAACCAAACCGGAACAAACCAGATGGAGAGATTCTTGAAGATGCTTTTGATGTTGCTGTGAAGGGAGTGGTTAAGGGAATAGAAGGGATAAGGAGAAAAGAATTCAAGACTGAGTAACTAAGTTTATAACTAATTAGACAACAAAAAAGAATATGTCCTACATTTGTTATTGTATTTAATTGTTCGTAGGTCTTGTAGTATGTTGTTCTTATTCTTTTACTTCAAATTAGATTAGTTTAAAGTTTTACTAATATACATACATAAAATACCATGTGAAAAAACGAGATTTCACTAAGAAATGATAATTCTAAAATAAAATCCATTTTCTGGTTAAATTTTGCATTTTTCTTTCTATATTATAATTAAGGTCATTATTTATTTCTCACTCAGTATAAGTTTTGTAATTTGACAAAAAAAAAATTAACAACAAAAAAAAATTGTAAAGATGATGGAAAGAACTCGATGACAAAATGATAAGGATTCAGCTTCGCTTAAAAAAACTTGCATGTCCATGTCATTTGTCAATAGCAAAATGATCAAACTTCACACAGTAAGAGAAAACACGTTTTCTAGTGGTTCACAATCATATAACCACTTTGGATGAATAATAAATGAAATGTAATAAGAAAGATGACTTGGGTATTACTAACCTGAAATCCATGTTAACCACATACATCTAATCTCAGCATGAGGAGACGTCCACGAATGACCTCTTTGAGACAGATGAAGAGAGAAGGCAGAGAACGTCATCGATTCTCGATACGGAAAATCTCTAGCTTTATAATGGTTAAGGATTAGTCAAAGCAGTAGAATATGTTTTTATTGGGTCAATGAAACTAAAATAGCCCATAATTTTCGGCCCAAAGTAGCATAAAGCTTTCCATGGTTTTTTTTTTTTTTTTATATGACTCAGGTGATTTTAAAAGCTTTGTGGATCCAAAGACTAATCCTGGGGCCCGGAGAAACCATGTTAGAATTCGAACCCCGGTGGCCAATGCTACTCGAACCCAAGTAGCGGAGACTTTTCTCTCCTTTACCACTGGACCAAGGCGACTTGGTTTCAATGGGTTTGTTTTTTTTGAAGACGAAAAGCAGTAGTACGTATATTAGCTTGAAGTTGAACAAAAGGTACTTTTGATGTCAATGCAAAGGGTTTAGTCTATGGGGTTCTTAACGGTTCTTTCTAAAGGTGATTACCAAGTTTTGGTTAACATCAAATTTCATTAAAATAAAGAAAGAAACAGTTTTGGTTAACATATTACAAAGCATAACGACGGATAATATATATTGGTGTAGTGAATCTCTCTGCAAAGACATTCTTTGGGCTTCGAATTTTAAAAACTCTCAATTCTTAAATACCGCTCCTTCTTCTAATGAATATATCATAATTTGGAGAACATGGTCCAAATAATTATGTTTTATTTTAAAGTTGTGTATACCTACCAATCTAGTAATCTACTATCATGGTTTATCAAAAAAAAAGAAAGTAATCTACTATCATGGTTAACCCAAAATACAACCTTTTTTTTTCCCGTTGACTAGGAGGCCTCGTGCCAAGGTCCTTTACTAATTACTCTGTACTTGACCAGTCGTAAGTCGTAATGTAATTCTAAAGTTAAATGAATGTATTGCTTGCTGTGTCGAAAAGAAGTTTATTTCTAATATTTTCATGGCGCCGTTAAATTTTTATAGCTTGAATGTATTTTATAGTTAAAATAGCTTGATTGTACGAATACATGAAAATATTATACAGTACCTCAGCGGACTGAGTATTTTAATTATGTATGAATAGTTTGGCATACGTAAGATCGAATGTGCTACGTGAGCAGCATGCGAAGAGAAGAGAGGGCAGATGTCAAATTCAGTTGATACGTGTCGCGCGCCCTCCTAACAATAAGTCTCTCCTGCATTATAACAAAACCAACAAAACGACAACAATATTTCAACACCATATCGAGGCGATAAGGAAAAGGTTAGAGCGACCCATGATCCCTCGTTCCTTGGTCAAATTAGAAAATTAAAAATTGTTTCATTGGTGAGATATAACATAGAAAAGAGCATATAAAAGAGTTTGATTGAATTTTACTAAGACATCCATATTTTCTTAAATTTTTGTGAGAAGAAACCTACAAAATTTCTGTCTTTTTAACATAGTAATATCAACCAATATATGGTGATCTAAAGTTTTAAACTATTCATATTTAAGTTTAAAATCAGGTATCAAATCATTTCATTTCGATTTTATGTATGGACTAGTTGACCATCATAAATAAACAACACCTTAAATTACAAAATAATAATCCATTTCTTTCATAGATTAGGAATTTAGGATGTATAATTAGTGTTTTCGAATCCGATTTATAATAAAAACAAAATTACCGATCGGAGCAATTCACATATATACGTTAAAAAGGTGGGGGCTCACTTCACGTGGAGACTTAATTGGATCAGAAAGTAACTTAAAAGATGCGGAACCCCGAAGGTGCCGATGGCATGGGGACCCCATTCACGTACACCCTAACACTAAACATTGCCTAAACTCTTTCTCTATATAAACACTTCTCTCTCTCTCTCTTTCTTTCTCACACAAAAATACAGCACAGATCAGTCCTCAAAGGGGAAAAAAGAAAGCTTTAAAGAGACATTAAGAGGCTACATAAATCACACAAAATATCAAATTGTGAAACCTAAGAAGAAAACAAAAAGTGAGAAGCAATGGCTGCAATGTTGAAGGTCTCTCTTATATTGTCATTGTTAGGGTTTCTGGTGATCGCTGTCGTGACTCCATCGGCGGCGAACCCATTCAGGAAGAGCGTAGTTCTCGGAGGGAAGTCAGGTGTTCCAAACATTCGGACCAACAGGGAGATTCAAGAACTTGGAAGGTATACATCTCCTATATATACATGTATGATATGAATTAGAAATGTGATGTGATTGTGTTTGATCACAGGTACTGCGTGGAGCAATTCAATCAACAAGAACAGACCGAGCAAGGAAACATAGGATCCATTGCGAAAACGGACACAGCCATGTCGAATCCATTGGTGTTTAGCCGAGTTGTATCGGCTCAAAAACAGGTCGTCGCTGGGACCAAATACTATCTAAGGATTGAAGTGACTCAACCCAATGGCTCGACCAGGATGTTTGACTCTGTTGTGGTTATTCAACCATGGCTCCATTCTAAGCAGTTGCTAGGTTTCACTCCTGTTGTCAGTCCTATCTACTAACTTCATTTCTTATTCAGCCTTAAATTTCCATAATATGATCATGAAAAGACTAAAAGGTGTATGATACGAAGCTATTAAGAATGGGTCGATGGTTTTAATGATGTTATGTTGTTCATAAATAAAGACAAGATGTTATTAAGAAGATGAGACGAGACTTGTTGAAATATCACAACCATCAACAAACTTTGGAATGTCGTTGCATTCTCTTTGCATAAACTTTAAGGGTTGAAAGAGTTACCTCTACATATCGATTTTTCAATTCAACTGAAAATTTTGCACACATCTAATCAAACAATATGTAGAGTTGTAAATAACAGAGCCAAGAAAGCTACAAAAAGATGAGCTTACCGTTAAACATTAGCTAAAGTTGTTATGTTGGTTTATAGAACAAGCAACCAGTTTATCAATCAAAGATCTCTTGGGCCTCGATTATGCTGTGTTGCCTGAGAAGATCGGGAGTTGTGAAGTTTCAGATCTTGGATGCAGAGAAAATGGAAAAGCAAGAATAGAAAGAAGAAGAGACGAGAGCGATAATGTTTTGCTTACATATCATCTTTTGCGACCCGGTAATATTTTTCAGCATGTTGCCGTTGGCCAATCATTTGAGCAAAGCGTTCATCGTGGGTAATGACTATGAGTTGGAAATTCTCTTGGCCCTTTCTGTCTTCCATGATCCTGGAGAATGCAAATATACATATATATAATCCAATATTGAGAGCCATGGTCTTAGGATGTGTCACAACATTATAGGGAAAAGACAGGTAAAATCACAATAATGACGATTTCAGTCTTTAGATAGTTTAATTTCTATGTAAGAGGAATTATATGTACACATGTATCATCATCATAATTCATAAATCATTAGGGGTATAGGTCTGAGTTCTTACCTAAGAAGAGCTCCTGCAAGAGATTCTGAATTGGGCCCATCCAGGTTTGTAGTTGGCTCATCGAGGGCTAATATTCCACAGTTTAAGCAAAATGTCTCAGCTAAAGCCAGCCTAATTATCAATGAAGCAAGAACCTGCAGGAGATGATGAAGAAGAAAATGAACCTGAGTTCAACAACGAAGCTTAAAATAATATTGAACAGATAACAATGCTTCTACACGGCGATTTTAGAACAACTCGCCTTTTGACCTGCGCTGCATCTCCCTCTCATTTCAAGTTCTGTATCACCAGTCTGCATAAGAACCTAAGAAATAACAGGGTTTACCACAATGTTAATGATGATCACATAAAAGCATGTTGTCAATTCCTTAGCATACCTTGTAGCTGTAAGAGCGGGTGCCTGCACCTTCGGAATCTGAGTGTATTCGTATGTAATCCATATCTTGACCTCTGTATGTCTGCTGCCACAGTTCCCTTATAATCTTATTTATTTCCTCCATTTTCATTGTGTGGAAGCGCATTAGTGCTCTGTATGTATTCAATAAGATGGAAATGCAGATTAAATGATTTTGTGAATTAGATAGTGTAAAATGAAAAACAACTAGCCAGAAGCTTATATTAGGACTCGAGAAAGGCTTACTTGTCAAGGGCATTGTAGTATCTATCCAAGTCTTTATTTGCCATTTCAGTTGTCTGGCCAAAATGAAATGTTCAATTTAACATAGAGTGGAATTTAATGATCATTCAGGCACTGCCACAAGGCAATACTACGTCTTACCTTTAGCTGGATCAGTTGATCAAA